TCTGATATCCATTTTGGTCTTTTCTTTCTTTCCTGTCTTTTTAATGACCTCTTGCTTTCTTCATGTATGATGTCCTTGATGTCATTCCACAACTCATCTGGTCTTCAGTCATTGGTGTTCAACGCGTCACATCTATCCTTGAGATGGTCTCTAAATTCAGGTAGGATATAGTCATGGTCGTACTTTGGCTCTTGTGGACTTGTTCTAATTTTCTTCAGTTTCAACTTGAACTTGCATATGAGCAGTTGATGGTCTGTTCCGCAGTCTGTCCCTGGCCTTGTTCTGATTGATGATATCGAGCTTTTCCATCATCTGTTTCCACAGATGTAGTTGATTTGATTTCTGTGTATTCCATCTGGTGAGGTCCACGTGTATAGTTGCCGTTCATGTTGTTAAAAAATGGTATTTGCAAAGAAGAAGTCATTGGTCTTGCAAAATTCTATCATGTGGTCTCTGGCATCATTTCTATTACGAAGGCCATATTTTCCAACCACCGATCCTTCTTCTTTGTTTCCAACTTTCGCATTCCAATCACCAGTAATTATCAACGTATCCTGATTGCATATTCGATCAATTTCTAACTACAGAAGTTGGTAAAAATCTTCAAATTTCTTCATCTGTGGCCTTAGTGTTTGGTATGGAAATCTGAATAATAGTTGTATTAACTGGTCTTCCTTGTAGACATATAGATACTATCCTATCACTGACAGCGTCGTACTTCAGGGTAGATCTTGAAATGTTCTTTTTGACGATGAATGCAATGCCATTCCTCTTCAAGTTGTCATTCCCGGCATAGTAGACCAAATGATTGTCTGACTCAAAATGGCCAATACCGGTCTATTTCAGCTCACTAATGCCTAGGATATCGATGTTTAAGCATTCCATTTCATTTTTGATGATTTCCAATTTTCCTAGATTCATACTTCGTACATTTCATGTTCTGATTATTAATGGATGTTTGCAGCTGTTTCCTTTCATTTTGAGTTGTGCCACATCAGCAAATGAAGATTCCAAAAGCTTGACTCCATCTACGTGATTAAGTTCGACTCTACTTTGAAAAGGCAGCTCTTTCCCAGTGGTATTTTGAGTGCCTTACAACCTGGGAGGGGGGCTCATCTTCCAGCACTGTATCAGTGTTCCACTGCTATTCATAAGGTTTTCACTGGCAATGGACAACCGGTCGGAAGATTCCAGGTTCAACTCCTGGCTGGCTCATTACCTCCTCTGTTTCCCCCACGTGTCTGTCAGTTTGTTGTACTGTAGGGGCTTGTGTGTTGCTGTGATGCTGGAAGCTATGCCACCAGTATACAAATACCAGCAGGGTTACCCATGGCAGACAGGTTTCGGCTGAGCTTCCAGACTAAGACAGACTAGGAAGGAGGACGTGGCGGTCTACTTCCGAAAAGAATGAGTCAAGAAAAACGAGAAGAATTAAAAAGGACAAACAGACATTTTTTCAAGTCAGAATTAGAGATTTTAACACTTCTCCCTCAGCCAAGATAAAACAGTAGATACAAAGACATAGATGACTTGAACACTAGCAAGCATTGCGACCTAAATGATACTGATAGAACATTTCACCCTATGACTGCAGAATACACATTCTTTTCAAGAATACCTGGTATAGTCACCAAAATAGAGCATACGCTGGGCCACAAAACAAGTCTTAATAAATTCAACAAGACTAAAATCATCCAGAATATTTTCTTTGCCCATAAAGGAATTAAATTAGAAATAAATAATAAGATCTCTAGGAAAACCTCAAATATTTGGAAATTAAACAACATGCTTCTAAGTATTTTTGTATCGCTTAATAATGAAAATTAAACACATCAAAACTTATGAGATGCATCAAAAGCACAGCTTAGAGAGAAATATATAGTTTTAAAAATCTATATATTAGAAAATAAGAAAGATCTAATATGAATGACCTAAGCTTCTGCCTTAAAAGCTAGAAAAAAAGTGTAAAGTAAACTCAAACTGAGCAGAGACATAATAAAGACAATAACAGTAACCAATGAAATAGAAAACAAACAACAGAGAACATCAACAAAGTCAGAAGCTGGTTCTTTCAAAAAGATTAACAAAATTGATTAACTCTTTGGTAGACTGATCAAGAAAAAAAAGACAGTGAACACAGGTTACCAATACGAGGAACAAAAGAAGGGTTATCACAATAGTTCTTATATACATTAAATGGATAAAAGAGAATATGGTAAAGAAGTTTATGCCAACGAATTTGGAAACTCAAATGGACAAATTTCTGAGTGGTACACCTCAACACAATTGACACAAAACAAGAAAGAAAAATCTGAATAGTCCTCTATCTACTAAAGAAATTGAAGGTATTATTAAAATACCTTCCCACAAAGCAAACAACAGAGCAAATTAGTTTTACTCGTAAAAGCTATAAACCAGTTGAAGAAAAAAATAACATCAACCTTACACAAACATTTTCTGTCAATAGAGGAAAAAAAAAGGAGACCAGAATAACCCTAATACCAAAATAAAAGACTTTACCAAAAAAAGAAAGAAAATTACAGACCAATATCCCTCATGAATATGGATGTAAAAATCTTCACAAAACATTGGAAAGTCAAATCCAGAAATATGTAAAACGGGTAGTGTTTTGCCCAGGAATGCAAGGTTTGTTTAACACTCAAAAAGTCAATCCACTTACCATATTAATAGCATAAAGGGGAAAATTAAATAATCATTTCAAAAAATATAGAAAAGGCATTTTAAACAATCAAAACTCCATTTTGAGGAAAACTCTCAGCAAATTAGAAATAGAAGAAAAGTTCATTAACTTGAGAAAGGGCATCTACAAAAAACCTTTAGCTAACATGATACTTAATGGTGAAATATTGAACACTTTCCCCGAAAACTGGGAAAATGGCAGGCAAGGGTTTCTACTCTCACCACTTCAATACATTGTATGAAAAGTCCTAGTTTGTTAGAGCAATTATGCAAGAGAAAGAAATCAACAGCATAAAGATTGGAAAGGAAGAAGTAAATGTGTCTCTGTTTGCAAATGACATAATTGTTTACATAGGAAATCCTAAGGGATCCACAAAACGATTACTAGAACCAGTAAGTAACCTTAGCATGGTCCCTGAATATAAGGACAATTCAAAAATATTAACTGTATTTTTAAATACTTGTTGTTAGTTGCTGCTGAGTCGATTCCAACTCATGGTGACTCCATGTGTGCAGAGTGGAATGGCTCCATAGGGCTTTCAAAGCTGTAACCTTGCAGAAGCAGATTGCCAGGCCTGTCTTCCGAGATGACTCTGGGTGGTTTGAACCGTCAATCTTTCGGCTAATAGTCGAGCACGTAACCATTTGCATCAACACAAATAATTGGAAAATGAAGTTCAAAAAACAACTCATTTACAATAGCATTAAAAAACCCCACAAATTCCAAAAATAAATTTAACAAAAGATGTGCGAGACCTGTACATTGAAAACTAGAAGAAACTACTGAGAGAAATTTCCAAAATTTCTAAATAAATGGAGAGATATCCCATGCTCATGGATTGGAAGATGTGAGATTATTAAGACATTCATATCCCCAAACTGATGTAAACATTCAACCCAATCCTTTTCAAAAACCCACTAGGATTTACTTTGTATGAGTGTGTGTGTGTGTGTGTGTGTGTGTATGTACGTGTGTAGAAACAAACTGATTCTAAAATTTACGTAGAAATGCAAAGGACACAGCATATGAAATGTGCTCAGCATCATTAGTCATCATAGAAATGCAAACTCAAACTATAATAAGTTACCATTAACTCTAACGAGCTATTTTAGAATAGCTAAAAGTAAAAACGATGACAACACCAAATGTTGGTGAGGATGTGGGGCAACTGTAACTCATGTATTGCTTTTTTTGGAAAAAAAGTCTCAGAGTTTGTTAAAATACCAAACACACACCTACTACTCTATGACCCAGCAATTTCATGCCTAGCCATTTACCTAAGAGAAATAAAAAGCATTTGTCACAAAGACCTGTACAAGAATATTTATAGCAGGTTTATTTATAATCACTCATAATTGGAAACAGCCTCCCATTGCTGTTGATTCCGACTCACAGTGACCCTATAAGACAGAGCAGAACTACCCCAGAGTTTCCAACCCTATAATCTTTACAGAAGCACATCACTAAGTCTTCTCTCCAGCAGACTGGCTGGTGGGCTTGAACTGTTGATGATTCGGTTAGCAGCCAAGTGCTTAACCACTGCACCACCAGGTTTCCTGGAAATAGACTAAACCAAAACAACAAATCCATTGCTGTCGAGTCGATTCCAACTCATAGCGACCCTACAGGACACCAGGGAAACAGCCTCCAAAACTGAAAAAACCAAAGTCGTTGGCGTTGAGTCGATTCCAACTCATAGTGACCTAGGAAGCCTAGGTGCTTTCTAATTCATGTTTTTCAGTATAAATGTAATTTGTTCCTCTTTGTTGCTGAGTAACATTCCATTGTATGAATATATCAACGTATTCACTCATATTGGTGAGAGGTTTACTGTGTATAAATTTTATCTCCGAAAAAACCCAAAACCAAAATCAGGAGCCATAAACAAGTATACATAGTGTTTAGGTATCAAGTGTATTGATGTCTACAACTTACTGGATCCAAAAAAAAAAAAAAAGATGAACTGAGGGATGATTAGCTGGATAGATAATAATGAAATATAGTAAAATGATAATTATAGACTCTAGATGGTAAGATATAGAGTGTTTACTCTTTTGACTCTTTGAAACTTTTCTGTATATTTGAATATTTTTATAATAAAATGTTTGGAAAAAATACCTTGCTTTATCCAGAAGAAAGATGTTAAAGATGTTAAAAGGGTTTCAGTAAAAGTCATTAAGAATGGCTGAAAGAAAATTGGCTGCTTCCAAAAATCTGAACTATCAAGAAAAGCAGCAAACATTTCCCAGATCTCTGAAGAGATCCTCCCCATCCCCACCAGAAGAAACTCACCACTGACCTTTTTTCTTTTCCTTTGCTTGGTTTTAGCTGAGTCTTGTCCAACGCTCCCATTCCCTAGGGATCCTGATGTCGTTTTCCCTGAGTGCTGTGATCCAGATGATGGAGCTGTTGGTGTATGGGGAGGCGTGTTCTCTGGGGAGTCTGGACTGGACTTCATGCAAGAACCCTGCCCAAAGAGATGTGGCTTTGAAATCAAGTGACCAGGCCTTCTACTAACATTAGATTTTGTCCACTGTCTCATGAATTTAATACTACAAGTTTACAAATGAAAAACACAGTTTATTCTTATCTAGTCCACAGAAATGATGCCTCCACCTGCCCTCGAGGGTCTGAGTAAGTTAACTTTTACTATCTTCTCATGTAGACAAAAATCAGGATTCCTTACATACACCTTCTAAAAATTCTACTGATTATGTCAGATACAGACATTGCTACGTTTGAGCCCACTGTTACAGCCACTGTCAGTCCATCTCTTTGAGAGTCTTCCTCTTTTTTGCTGACCCTCTAATTTACATGTTTCAAAAGGAACCCTAAAACTCTTTTCCCAAATAGATGACTTTTCAGATATTATTTGTGTCAGTGGTGACCAGCATTCTCCCAGTAACTCAAACTCAAAGCCTTAGGGTTCCTGCAGATTCCTTCAACTCTTCCCACAAATAGTTTATTCCTTCCTTCCTAATATCTCTCACATTATTCTGGTTTCTTTGGCCATGATTACAAGTCTGTACTCTCTCCCATGTGAAAGCACTTCAAATATTTGGAAACTGCTATATTTCAGTCTCTTCTCTTCTATAGGTTAAACACTCCAACTTCCTTTAATCACTAATCATGGACATGTTTTCAGGTTCCTTCACCCCCCAGTTACTCTCCTTTAGACATGCTCCACTGTGTCAATGTCCATTCTATAAGATGGTACCTAAAAGCTAAAACAAAACAAAAATTTCCTTCACAGTCACATCACATCCTGGTCCCTAAGAAATCTGTAAGAAAATAAAAATTTCCAGGTCTTCTTCATGCGTGCCATTATTAATCTGAGGAACCCTGGTGGCTCAGTAGTTAAATACTTGGCTGCTAACCAAAAAGTCGGTGGCTCAAACCTACCAGCTGCTCCATGGGGGAAAGATGTGGCAGTCTACTTCTGTAATGATTTATAGCCTTGGAAACCTATGGGGGCAGTTCTAATCTGTCCTATAGGGTCTCTATGAGTCACAATCAACTCCCCGGCAATGGGTTTGGTTTTGGGTTATTATTAATCTACATTTTTTTCATTCTATCAACCGTACTATTAACTTGTCCACAATTCTCTATAATGTATAAAAAAAATTATGCTAGACTTTGCAAAATGCCTTGCTGAAATTCAGATATTGGTTTCAACAGTATTTCCTTGATCTGCTTGCCTAGAAATACTATCATACAAGAGGAAATGAGGCTAATCTGACATGACTTGTTCCTGGGAAAACAAGATAGCTCCTAGGGATTGTGGCTTCCTCTGTACAAACCATATGTTAAAAAAAAAATCTAGAAAATTAACTTAATATTAAACTTGCTTGTCTAGTATGAGGAACCCAAGTGTAACTAGCTTAGTCCCTTAACAGTTAGTGCTCAAGAATGGTATTTGTGAAAATACAACACATTGCGTATTAATTCCATGTTTTAATTGAATTTGCTACTCCAATTCACTATACACAGCACCATCACTTGGATCTTCTTAAAACATCCTTTTGAACTCATTATCTTCAGCCAAGAAACCTTCAACTGTTTTTTAATAACTAGGAGTCTAAGACTATTACAATTTGAACCTCAATTTTCTAATCTAACTTCCTACTACTCCTATTCAATGAACACTTTGCTTCAATATTTTCATCAGAGTTCTTTTTTGCACAATTGTACTTATGCTGCCTCTGCAGCCTGATGTACTCTCCCCACTCCTAGCTGCTCATCAAAGTTCTATCCTTCCTTTAATACACAGCTTAAGTCCCACTTCCTTGCTGATGTCCTATTTGACTGTAACTAAGGAGTGCTGTCACCTCTGCACTTTCTGTCTGCAGCACTCATCTGGAAATTAGTATATGCTACCTTGAATGTCTTATTATTTATTTTAAAAAAAGTTCTTTCTCTCTGAATACAAATTATAATGGTCTCCAGAGTCCCCCTATATATTCCTAAAGCAGATCCTTGATGATGTTAGTTGTTGATTTGTGATATTGATGGGTAAGATTCCTACTTTAGAGCAGCCACTTATCCTTGTATCTTGTCAGTCAGTAGAGTCAGGAAGGAAGACTTTCAGTCTCTCTAAATGCTTGCTTATTTTGATCACCAGTCACAGGGGAGGAGGAGTGTCTGCCAGGCCAGGGAAAAGCTTGAGGCCTGTACAACATATTTAATCAGAATGCTCTCCGACAACGACGCTCCCACCTCCCAGAGAGCCCAGGAAGTCCAGCATTCATAGGGGATTTTTCTCAACTGCTGGGTAGCTGGGAACAGAGGCTGTGGTTGCTGAACAATTCCCCAGGGCAGCTTGGCCACCCTGAAGCGCCAAGAAAGGGGAAAAATAAAGGGTTTTCTTAACCATGCAAGCAATTGCTTGAATGTTAAGGAAAAACTAGGCTTGTTATGTTCACTGTAAATTTCTTCAATTTGAAATGTTACAACAAATTTGTCTGATGTTAATCAAAAGCATACTTATACACATATTCATAAAGTGAACATGCATCAAAGACATTGTAAAGGATGTTCTTTGACATCGTAATTCCAGTTTGTGACATAAAGAAAACAAATACTGTTTAATCAACTGGGCAAGCTTTAGGGACTTTTCAAGTATGTTGACTGATAATGATGTATGACCTTTTCCAAAAAAAAAAAAAGTATTCTTGATGGGAATAAACATTTTAATCCCTACTTGGATTCCAAGCTGACCTGATTCTCTAAGGACATAAAAAAGATGTTAAACTAACTTTTGTAATAAGATACTATCCACCTACTCCTCACTTACTATCTCATCCAACATTTCACATTTGCGGTAAGAGTAAAAAATTTGCTATCTGAATATTTTGTGCATTAATGACGTGCCTCTGGCAGTAGTGAACGCTGAAGTGCTAGGCAAGAGTAATACCGGCTGTGATGTCTACTTGGCTGGGCCATGATTCTCAGTGGTATGGTAGTTATGTAATGATATAATCTGGCAGTTATGTAATGATGCATTCACCTTCCATTTTTGATCTCATGTAGTCATCCTCCATTTTCGCATAGTGCAGATTTTCACATAATGACCTGGTCTTTGAAAACTTACCATGTCAATAAGTGAGGAGCGGGTATATAGGCATATCTCTACATATTTTCTAAGTACTCTAGAGTAGAGATACTTAGGTTCATAGAGTTCATAGACCTCTCAGATCCATAAAATGGCTTCAGAGGGTCTCTGAGCATCCTGAAATTGTTTGCAAAATTTGTAAATGTGTTTATGGAGAAAGGGTTTCTAGCTTTCATCAGATTCTCAAATGGATCAGTGACCTAATAAAAGGTTACAACCATTTCTTACAGACTATTTGAGCCATCATCCCACCTACAGATATCTGTGATAAAGTTTAGATATAAAACAGGGTTTAGTCAGTCAGGTTATACATTTTACCTAATTGGGTCAACAGCTCACTTTACAGTTATATATGTAGATGTCAACCTAACCTTCTTGCTGCCTTTTCTATGGTTATTAGATTGAATTATATGAAATTACTGTTTTTGTTAGTGAAAATGGTCAAACATTAGCAAATTCATTCAACATATTATACTGTATTTTTGGTTTTTAGGCACGTATTGGTTACACAGAGTATTTTTTATGCCAAAAGTGGTGCACAGTTATTATAAAGCAAACAAACCCATTGCTGTCAAGTCAATTTTGACTCATAGTGGCCCTATAGGACAGAGTAGAACTGCCCCATAGGGTTTCTAAGGCTGTAATCTTTATAGAAGCGGACTGCCACATCTTTTTCCCATGGAGCAGCTGGTAGGTTCAAACCGCTGACCTTCTGGTTTGTAGCCGAGTGCTTAACAACTGCTCCACCAGGGCTTCTCACAGTTATTATACAAAGACTTAAAGCTGAAAGAAGACTTCATAGTCCCATAGGTGGGGACTTAAGCAGCATAAACCAGAACAAAAAGAATGTGATCTTCACATGATAAAGCCAATCTAAAAACTAAGAACAAATGGAACCATGATTTTCTAAACCATGTTTTGAGATGGATTAGTAATTGAAATTAAAAATTATCAATAAATGTCAAGAATTGTTATCACATGAATATCAGTAATAACCCATTGTGTCTTGAGGCACAAAGAAATAAGTTATGTTTCCTAACATTATTCAATTACTAGATAAGCTGTTATTTCCAATGGAAATTAGAAGTGCTCTGTAACTATTCACTGAAGGACAGGGAAAGTTAAGTGAGGTAAGGAAAAGGTGAAAAACTTATTGTACTAAATGAATTGCCAGGGCCAGGTATATATTAGGTTTGAAATTAATATTTCTTGAATGCTGAATGTTTTTAAGATTCTTTGACTGAAGGCTATACAATCCAACACAATCTTAAAAAAAAAAAAGGATTGGAGGCAGCCCCAAGATGGAGGAGTAGTCAGACGCTCCCTGTGGTCCCTCTTACAGCAAAGGCCCGAGAAAACAAGTGAATCGATTATATATGACAATCTAGGAGCCCTGAATATCAAAGGCAAAGTTGAGGAATCAGACTGAGTGGCAGGGGGAGGGAGAGACGGTTCTGAAGTAGCGATGAGGTGCCAGACCTGACCTGGAGGGAACTGGCACCCCGCAGGCCAGACTGGCTGGTGTGTGTGGTGAGGCAAGCAGTGGCACTCGGGATGCATTTTCCACACTGGGAGACACCAAGTGGCGGAGAGTCTATTCAAGCCTCCAGAACCAGTGAAATGCAGCCCTCAATTGGCAAAAGATAAGCACATGCGTCTAATCCACTGCATCAAAAAACACCCCGTTTGGGAAGAACCTCTCTCCCATTTACCTGCCTCTTCCCCGCTCTGCACCGGGTCCCAGGCCGGCTTCAGCGGTTGCCACATCCCCTGGGCCAAAGTAGGACCTGTCACAGACCCTGAGCTATTCTCCCAGGCTTGGAGAGGGAACAAATTAACAAACAGGGAGAAAATAATCTGCCAGGTCCCCTAAGCTGGGAACTCAGGGCAGGCACAGCTCCTTTGCCTAGGCACAGGCATAAGGGGTCCATGGACTCTGAATGCCTTTCACCTCTGCATAGACCTGTGTGGGCCCATTTCAACAGCATAGGCCCTCACAATACAACAGGGTATATATCTGAAGCCTAACTTCAACTGTATCAGCTATATGGTGGAGTGGCAGCTTCACGACATTTGACACTGCTATGCCCATTAAGCAGGGTCCTCACCTACCCACATGAGGGGCCTGAGGACTGGTGGCTCCACCCATACCACCTAGCCACCTGTGACAGGGTCCAAGAATAAGTGGTGCCTCCCAGTCCTTACAGCCAACTGCACTGGGTGCCCACAGTCTGGCTGCAAAACCCATCCACCTACACATTCTAGGAACAGGGACATGCTTTCCTCCCAGACACTCAGGGGCAGTCACCACCGCCCTGCCCTGCTCAGTGCGTGACCCCCTACTGCAACCAGATACCTGTGCCTACTCCAATCACCCCTGCCTGTCTAGGAATGTAGATGAAAGCTTGCACCACACATTTGGTGATCAACTACCTGGACACCAGAGCTGAATCCAAACAAGAAAAGTAAACAGACTCCTGGGCTCACATACCTAGTAACAGATCTAACCACCTAGTGACAGGATGCTAGAGCTTCAAAAGTGCCAATAATCAAGCTAGCTCACTTGAGCAGCCTATTTGGGCATACCAAAACAAAACAAAAGAAGAAGCTAGGACACAGTAAGCAAACATAAAATAAATAAGTATAATAACTTATTGATGGCTCAGAGACAACAGTCAATATCAAATCACATAAAGAGGCAGACCATGATGGCTTCAGCAAGTTCCCAAAACAAAGAATCAAGAAATCTTCCAGATGAAGAGAACTTCTTGGAATTACTGGAGGTAGAATTCAAAAGATTAATATACAGAGCTCTTTAAGAGATCAGGAAGGAGTAAGGCAAAACGCAGACCAAGCCAATGAACACACAGACAAAGCAACAGAGGAACTTAAGGAGATTACAGAAGAGCACAATGACAAATTTAACAGGCTGCAAGAATTCATAGAAAGACAGCAAACAGAAATCCAAAAGATTAACAATAAAATTTCAGAATTAGACAACTCAATAGAAAGTCATAGGAGCAGAATTGAGGCAATGGAAATCAGAATTAGTGAGACTGAAG